AATTTAAAATATTAATATATCCCATTCTGAGTATTTAACAATCTCAGTGTACAAGGGATAAATTAATATTTGTATAATTTTTCTTCATCTTTGATCGTTTTATAGCAACAGCAGTGCAAAAAATTCAGGATAACTGTTGAATAAAACTGACAGACTTCTTTCTGGTATTCACATCAAAATGCAGTTTATTGTAAATAATACTCCCTAAATATTAATAACTTTCCACACACTCCACCTTCTTATCTTTAATGAACGTATATTGGGAAGAATGAGCTTCAGTTCTGAAATCAATAATCATATCTTTGGTCTTAGATACATCAGCTGCAGACAAGCATCACCACAGCATTTTACAAAGTCATCAACAACTGGACCATGACAAGTTTACATTTTTTCGAAGTTTTGAAGACTCTCTGATCAATTTTCTCCTCCCAGAGTAGGTTTTTCTAATGTGTCGACAGTTGACGGGAACTCCGTTTCCACAACGATTACGTATTTCCGGTTTTTGTGAAAAAGGTCTATCGAGGAGAAGAGGATTCAGCAAGGGTCATAAACACGGACGGGCAATCAAACTAGGAAACGCTCAAAAGCAGACTTGGAATTAAGACTAGATATCAGACTGGATTACAGACTAGGAGCCACTAGGAGCCGCTAGGAGTTGAATACAACAGTGAATCATACCTTCATTCAAGACTTCGCAAAGAGTAATAGAGACAATGAGGTATAAATGTGTGTGGAGCTGCGTGTGGAACTAGATGCAGGTGTGAGAGTGATCAATGGAAACAGGTGTGAGCGTTATCAGTAGGGTTGCAACGGTATGAGATTTTCACGGTATGATAATCGTCTCAGAAAATATCACGGTTTCACGGTTTCACGGTATACGATATTAAAACTATCATTATTATAATCAGCATCAGCTACAATGGCCCTTAAATGAATAAAAACAGATATTGTTTTTGGTTGAACATGGTTTATTGTAACAAAGGTTTTTTCAATAGAGTCTTTATGAAATGTATATTTATTTCCTCAGAAATTCTGGGTTGTCTGAAATAACTGATCTGGATTCTGTGATTGAATACAAAATGTATTTTTGAGAATGCAATCAGATAAAATGTAACAACTTTAGTTTGTCTACACAAGAGAAGTTTAATAAATTAAAACATGGACAAAAAAACTATACACAATAGTAATATATTTTAGTCATAGGCTAAACCAAACTTTTTTTTTCCAGGTTGTAGGGGAGAGCGGGGCACAACCTAACGCTTTTTGCTTTTGGCTCAATTAATTAAAAAATAATTAGGTTAGATTAATACTTTTTTTACACAAGCAACATGCACATCTCTGCTACAAATGAACACTTAAAGTTTTTTTCTAGGACCTACCATTTTCGTACAGTTGGACTGAAAGTGACAGAAGTGCAAATGTCACAACTTACCCCATATGGGGGGTTAATTGTAACAGAGAGAGGGGTTAGTTGTAACACTTGTGTGTAACACACATAATTCAGTACTATTTTATTTGTATAGTTTGATATTGTTTGTGCATCTGTATAGACAGATATCCATACATATCCCTCATCCAATCATCCTTCTAGTATGGATCAATATCATGGATAGAGACATAGAAAAGGGCTGCATAGTTTTGCAATAAATAATAATAAATAAAATTATAAATATTGTAATTGCAATTAAATTAGATTTGTGTGTGGCAGCTGCATGATGTACAATTATTATTATTAATAATAATAACAGTAATGATAATACAAATTGGCTTAAAATAAAAATTTAAAGGGTTTATTGCATTAATAACAGGCCATATTTTTAATAAATAAACAAGTTATCATTCATAGAACACTAAATTTTAAACATTTTAAATCCCAACATTGTTTGTGAACGTCTAACAAAGTTAAATGTATACTCAAACCTGAAAAGTTGTGTGGCTCCGTTTTCATTTGATTATCATTGTACACTTGGAGGCTTAGTTGTACCACTCTGTTAGAATTAACCCCGCTGTGTATTACATATTTTAAACCTAGCTAACAGTCGCTAGGAATTGCTGACATATGTTTCAAAACGGTGCTATGTTTGAGCCAACAAGACGGTGATTAAGGCAATATAAAGTTAGATTTGGAAACGTATACACCCAACTCAGAAACCGAAAAAAACCTATGATGAAAAAAATTACTTTCATGGTGTCAAAACACTCTTTGTCCAGTATCTTCACGAAATATAATCAAAACTTTCCGCAAATTCGCGGGAGACCGTCTTCTGGCAGCAAGAGAAAAATAGCGGAAAGACAGCCTGCTTGATCCTGACGAACTGTGTAAACGGTCCGTGTTACATTTAACCCCGCGTTAACACCTACTGAACACCTATGAGTTTCAGTCAGTGTATTTGATGATTATTCTTTAAAAAAATAATTATAAAGTGCACATTAAGTGTTCTCTGTCTAGATATGTTCATGTGTTCACGTCTTCTCGTAGTGGCTGAGACAGCTTTAAAAACCATGAGCGTCATGCGTACTTGAGTGTGTACTAGATCTACTAGACGAAACGGCGCTGCTCATTCAGAGACACGCTGAAGGGGCTTGCACACCAGTCTTTTTGCGTTGTATATTCACAGACACACACATCGCGATTTGATTTAGGCTACTGCATAGCTATATTTTGCTTTATTTATCCATCTATCTTTTTAAATCGCACATTTTACGTGGCATCTGTTTTGTAACGCAAAAAGACGCATGTGTGCGTCTTTTTGACAGACCGAGATTCCCTCAGCATGACAGAAATAATATGGCCTTAAGTTATAAAAGTTATGAATAACCTTTATCTTCACGGAGGGATGGTGTTCCTAAATATGGGAGAACATGTTCGACGTGTTTACTCCTTTTGCAGCCACTCTTCGTCCACATATCTTGCAAACTGGATATCCATCTTCAAGGACAACATCACGATCGTTTTTCGGATATAAGTAACAAAATATTCCCATACTGCAGATTTTATTTTATTTTTTTGGCGGGAGATAGAGATTCGCAGCCTCTGTCTCAGACATTTTCAGCGCTGTATGGATATGGAGTAAGCTGTCAAGCTGAAAGAAGTTGCATGCGGCAGTGCAGGTGAATTCTGTTTTTTTTTTTTTTTTTTTTTTTTTACCGTGGATAAGCAAATGTGCACGATATGATAATCGTACATGTCAATATCGCGATAAACCGTCATACCGGTATACCGTTACAACCCTAGTTATCAGTTCAGGGAAAAGCAGTTCAGAAGTGGAGTGCCCTCTCATGGCATTCGAGGGCAATCCAGCCGATCATCGTTACAGATAGACATGGTTGTGCATTATTTGCACAAACAGTTTTCTCAGACAATCTCTAGTTAAAACATTAAAACACAGCATGCCAGAAGATAAGTGTTCAAAAGCAATTCATCCACAACAAATAGGTTTATTTCTATTTATTGAATATATATATATTGTAACTTCTCAGTAATGATTTCATGTAGTTTAAGAGTTTAACTCCATTAATGAGAATGGCATATTTAATCTAAATGTTTAAGATTAAATTTCTATGCCCATTTTGTGCGTACGCAACGTTTATACATGAGGCCCCTGCTCCTCATCCTCCCCGACTTTGCACAGTGTCTTTGACAGTGCAGGGTAATTTTGACCCAGAACGTGTCGCTCTACCACACCCATCTCGGGACTCGATCCTGAAGCCAGCCCTGAAGCGGTCTCATATGCAGCAGGCCGAGCAGCGTTACTGGGAATAGCTCTCCACTGCATCGCCAAAGAGGCCACCCTGGGATATGGGGGAGTTCAGGAACCTGTTCTTGTCCGACTCCCTCATATCCATCAGGGTGAGCCATAGATGTCGCTCCTGGACCACAAGAGTGGACATCGCCCGACCCAGGGAACATGTGGAGACTTTGGTCACCCGTAGGGCGAGGTCAGTCGCAGCTCTTGGAGCACCCCAGGGTCGGTCGGTAGCACCCTTCTGCATGTCACAGAGTGCCTGGGCCTGGTGGACCTGGAGGAGCGCCATGGCATGCAGGACAGAAGCAGCTTCTCCACACACACAGTAAGCCTTTCCAGTCAGACCATAAGAGAACCTACAGGTGCGGGAGGGTAGCGAAGGGTTACCCCGCCAGGTGGACCCCGCCAGTCTTGGGACACAGCTGAATCGCCACAGACCACTCCACTGAGGGGATGCCTTCGTATCCCTTTGCTACCCCGCCATCGAGAGCGCTGAGGGAGTCGGCCTGTGTCTGGCCGCCGGAGGGGCCGTCTACGATCTCGTCACCTCCTCATGCACTTCTGGAAAGAAAAGAAACGGGGCGGAGTACTGATAACCAGCATGAGCCACCCCGAGAAATGGATCGTCGGGCCGGGAAGGTTCGGGACGCAGTGGAGGCCACACGAGCCCAACATTTTTCAGCCGCCCGGGCAAGCATAAGCGTAAACTCTTGGTCTGGCTCGGACAACGCTACCACACCCGAGGGGGGCAACGCAGCCGTCTTTGTTCTTTCTCTAAACATCTAAACATGTTTAGAGAAAGGTAAAACTTTCGAAATCTCAGTGTAAACAATGCGTGACGTAGACGCGCGAGAGATCACTTCCGGCGTAACGTCTGGAGACGGTTCAGTTGGACATCTGATTCAGATCAGTTTCAGGTCGACGGCTGTTAACAAGAGGTAAAACCTATATAAATACTGTTCGTTTTCTCACACAAACCGCTCGTTTCGCGCCTTAGGCCATCAGTGTGTACTTACATTCACGAGTCATTCAATCATGTTTAATTTTGACTTCTCTGTGCATGCTCTTTGAGGTGGACCCCCTAAAACTGCATTATAGGACTGACAGACAACAACGGTTTGACCAAAAAATGTCAAAATTGAAAATGCTGTGGAAACAAAGACACCTACATCTTGGATGCCCTTGAGGTAAGCTAAAACATATCAAAAATTAATTTGAAAGTGAACTCTCTTTAATTTGCACACACAGTCTCACCTGAGCTGTGAGATGTAGGGCAGACACTGGAGGAATCCCCTCACTTCACTCTCTTCATCTGTCCAGTCTATCAGCTCTACTGGTTTCATCTCTGTCTGCAGTTTCAGCACTTCTAGGAGGATGGAGCTCTTTCTCTCTGAGAGGTTTATGCTCCAGACTGCAGGAGCTGACTGATAAACTGGCTGTAATGCTGGAAGGACACTCCTGCCTGTTTGAGTCTCATAGTCTTTCACATGTGAACACAGATCCAGCAGGAAATCACATCTCTCATATTCCTGAAGAGACAGCAGTGATTCTACAGTCATCTCTGTGGTGCCTTGTGTATCTGTTAGAGCAGCTTGCAGACACAGATTTAAAAAAAGAGACCGCTTTTGTTTCTCCCATTCTTCACAGGATCTTGTCTCTGGTTGGGTAAATCTACACAGTCACAAAAAAGCAGCTCCATTACAATCTAGAAATCCAAAAAAAAAAAAAAAAAAAAATACTGGTGGGACAAACTCTCACCTGAGCAGTGAGATGTAGGGCAGACACTGGAGGAATCCCCTCACTTCACTCTCTTCATCTGTCCAGTCTATCAGCTCTACTGGTTTCTTCTCTGTCTGCAGTTTCAGCACTTCTAGGAGGATGGAGCTCTTTCTCTCTGAGAGGTTTATTCTCCAGACTATAGAAAATATTGGAAAAGCATTTATATTGAAAGAAAAGAAGAAAAGGTTATAATCAAGTGTCTGTATCATAAGACTTTTATCTCACCATCGACTGGTACTGGTGTTTCCTCACTGGGTTCACTAATGATGTCCTCATAGACAGCAGAGACTCTGACTCTATAGCAGGTGCTGTGAGGTACAGTTAATGTACATTTACACTGAGGTCCTTGTGTTAGTACTGATGACCAGCCCTCCAGTCCTGCTTCTTTATACTCAACCCTATACTGCAGCACTGAACAATCTTCGTCAGCTTCAGCTTTTAACCACATGATTCTGATTGTGTCTCTATCCATCTTAACAGATGGTTGCCCAGGTCTTTCTGCAGAGGCTGTTTTAAAGTTAATAATCCAGCTAAAGCTGCTCATGCATTGGTTGTCAGCAACTGCATACCTGAGTTGATATTCTGTGTCTTGGGCCAAACCTGATAAAACATGTTTTTCATTTAAAGTCTCAGCATAAACTATCTGTTTCCATGTACTATTAGCCCCACCATTACTCACAACTCCATATTCCACCACATATCTCTCAGTGCTTTTGTTCATCAGAAGATTCAGCTTAAGAGATACACTAGTGTGTTGTATGTAAGCTATTTGAGGAGGGTCTGGTTTTAGTCCAAGCTTCACATTACAGCTCAGAACCGCCCCAGCATGATAACACTGCACAGAGTACTCAGGAAAGCCATCACCACTGTTCATTGCTGCATCACCAGATGTAGCAATGAACCTGGTTTTCTCTGTATCGTCATTTGCTTCTTTAGCAGCAACAAACAGTTGTACATCAATGAGCACTTTCTGATTTATGCTAACTGGCCTGGACAGAAGTGAATCATTTTGTATAATGTTATGAGAGTCAATATGTTGCTTAAGAGTTGCAAGAAATAAATCCTCAGCATCTGGTGAGAAAAGCGTGAGACACATCACTCTGGTTGTCTGAGGGTGACTGATGACCTGCTGTAACTCTGCCTGTGATTTCACAACAGTGATGTCTGCAGCTTTGCAGTCATTCAGAATCTTCAGCTCAGTTTCTTTATTCTCCATCCACTGGTTTGTTTTCTCTGGACTGAATGGCGATTGGCTGTGCATCTCTAACAGATTTCGAAGGCTATTCTGTACTTTCTCATCTTTAACATGAATGACTTTAACAATCTCAGTGACTTCTCTCTTAAAATCTTCTTTGTAGTCCTGCAGAAGCTCTGAAAATTCAATTAATTTATCTTTTAGTGCAGGGAACCACATAATCACAGTCAGATTTGCTTGACTTGTCATTAATTCTTGACAGATCCTGATCTGTTTTCTCAGATGTTCCAGAATATTCTCAGCTTGTTGCGTCAAGTTTTCACTGACTCCCCTCAGAGCAGCACACACTGAGCTCCTGTCCAGTTTCTTCAGAGGATACAGCCAGACCTTTAGAGGAACCGCTCTCTCACCTTTGGATCCAAGCAGTGTCGGCAGAGAACCGTAGATGTCCACAGCCTTCTCAAAAGACATTGGACTCTTCCAATCGCCCACATCAATGTAGAGATAACAGTGATATAACAAGGTTTTAGCTTTTTCATTGACATTCAGGTGTACATTTGAACAAACCAAAGAGGTCATCTTCTTCACCACCGTTTCCATTTCTGTATTTTTCTCAGAAATGTTGCTTTTGCTATCAAAAACAAAGAATGCTTGGGCTCCATAGAACACAGCGATGATCACATGTGTTGCAGTTGTTGCATTAATGACTGAGGTAGGAGCTCCTTCCTGTAACAGTCTTTGGCTGATCATGTCCAGTTTGGTGGTGGTCCGGTAGTGTAGTGTAACTCTGTCCTGGTGTTGAGACTGACCTGGGTGGTTTAGAAAGGCTGCAGCTCCACTTACTTTTAACAGTCCATGCAAAGTTCTTGCTCTTAATACAGAAGATGTTTCAAGGGCTCTGAATCTCTCCTGTAGGGAGTCACCTTCCAGAACCTTGACCTCTGTTTGAGGTCGTGGCAAAGACAATTTCATAGATGCTATAGTGCTTTCATTCCACAGAAAAGTTTCTAAAAAAACCCAAAAAAAAACAATTAGTTAAATGACGAATCATGATTTTTTTTTTCTGCAGTCCATTTAAAAAATCTTTAATTAATTTGAATAAATTATTTATAATAGTAATAAAAAATTAATGAATGATTCAATGATCCACTCAGAAATACTTCACTTGTTTCATTACTGGATGAATTAGCATCGTTTAACAAATCTCTTGAACAAATGATTCAACGTCAAATACATTTTTTTTACAGTCTTTTGTCGCCAGCGATGTCAGGTGATGTGACGTCTTGTTGACGTTTAAAGTATTTTCAAACAAAACGGAGGCTAAATAGACCCTCCAACCTCCTCATCCGTGCACTAACCCCCCAAACCCCACCCCCAGGGCCTTCTTGTCAGTTATTGGCTGGAACAGTTTGTCATGTTTCATGGACGGGTCGAAACAACATTTTTTTTACAGTGTTTTTAGGGGACAGGCAGCTAGCGGATAGTGATGAGATGTTTGCTGTATGTGACAAAATATGTTTTGTCCTAAAAAACGTGTGACATCGCTTAGAGCACCTTTAAAGTGCCAATTTACTTTTAAAAGGTGATTTCCTCTATTTTGATCACTACTGTAGACATCTGATTTTATATCCGAACTATAAACTTTTATCTCAGTACTTAACTGTAGTAACTGTGATAATTTGAATATTTGCAAAACATCAATAAAATAATACTGTGTGGTTCAAAGCTGCTTTCTCTGAGTCAGCGGCAGTGCAAACACAGACTTGAATGTTCCGGTGTGACTTAATAGACACGGGAATCTATGTAATTTAGAAATAAGATAGCATGGGTGTTTGAATCAAGATCACAATCTGTCGACAATTAAAGGAGCTGTATGTAAGAAATGTATTTCAAATAATCATAAAAGGGCCCTGATATGTCACTAGACATTAAGAAAACATGTTCATTTCAAATACTTCTATCACTGACAACAGTAGTCCAGCCAGGATATTGTCATTTAAAAAGTGAAGTTGCAGCCCTCAACTGTCATGTTGGGTTTTGGTCTGATGCTCCACCTGCCACCGATCTACCAATCACGTCAGTAGTGTTGCAGCATTCGGGTTGCCAGTTCTGCTCTAGCTACCACAGCTGCAGATACAAACGTGTCGGATAACAAAATGTTGGATCCTGCAGCCTATCTGGCAACCTCGAGTCAGAGGGGAGGGGGAGGGGATATACCACTCTACAGTAATTTGAAACTGATTGCAGTACCAGTTTTGGCCACAATCTTACATATGGCTCCTTTAATTGTGCAGCTCTAGGACAAAGCAATGGAAAATTACATTCTTAGTAATCTAGTACTTTAAAAATGTCACAAGTTGGTGGGATAAATTGTGCAAAGGTAGAATTAAAGTATGTTTCTCACGGTTTACTATACCCTAAATAAGACAAACAAAGATCTTACCTTGCCTAAAAGAATCGCTGTTACTGTCATACAATTCTCCAAGGGTCAAAGGGCGACCTAGAGCAGCAATTTCAACTACATCTGAGGGAAAATCTGGAATATATATGGTTATATATACAAATTTTATAAAAACGTTGATCTGCAAAGTCATGAACTGTAAGTTGAAAAAGAAGGCCCTAACTACAAGCACCATATTCACCCACCATTACAGTGAACTTCAAATCCTTTACACAAACGTTTGGCATGTGCGTCCTTGTCTCTCAGAGTCTTTAAAAGAAAATACATTATTTCACATCACTTAAATGAAAAAACAAGATTTTTATGTTCACAAAATAATTTCACATTTTAAACAAACACGTAGTTTTGTAGTTACCTCTTCCAGTTTAGCTAGCTTTGCAGTCAACCCTTTGATCTCTTGCGATTCGTTTTCTGCTCTGAACATTCTGGTGTTCTCAATGTGATGAGGTAAACTGAAAGGCTAATCAAAATATATCAAATTATAAATAAAAAACCCAACAAATAGACAACATTTACATTAAATGGTGCACTTGATATTTAAATCACTAAATGCTGGAACTTTTATTAATGAAATGGATGCTTACATACTATTATACAGTTTTTTCTGTATAAATGGATATTAACATTAATGCTATATAGTCTATAGCCATTTATATAATGAGAAACAATATTTAATATTGTGTGATAACCATTTTATAAAAGCAATGAAGTACTCGAGGCAAGTGCTGTATCGTGAATAAGTAACGGCTGAAGGGGTTGCAGGCACTCCTAACAATTCCCAGCCGTTGCTTATTCACGATACAGCACAGCCTCTCTTACCTTCTTGCTTATGCTTATATATATATATATATATATATAGACCATTTTGCAAGATGTAAACAAGCACTTCCTGTTTCAGTTTTTTAACACTACATAGAAGCTGGGATAAAATACAACCAACAGAACATTTAAAACTTAATCAAAAAGTTAAACAAACATCTTTAAGATGTTTTCTTTACATGTGAAATAAAGAATAAAGAAAACAGTTACAAACGGAAACAGGAAGTGTTTCTGAACCAGTGTTGTTTACATCTTGCAAAATGGTATATATATATATATATATATATATATATATATATATATATATATATATGCTTCAGAGAGAGTGCATTGTGTCTGCAAGATAACTCCTGAAATGTTCATTCACCTCCACCAGGTTGTGTCTCTGCAGTGCTGGTACTGTGTAGTGTTGTCTGA